AGATCAGTAGTTGACAGAAAGACGTTAAGATTGTTTTATGTTGCCAGTTTATCTCCCAGGAAATGAGAAGGCCTCGTTCACACGGATGGCAAGGAGGTGATAAAACCAGGCGGCTGATTTGCGGTTTTACTGCACTGAGGTCACCTGCTGCAATGTCAACACTGCAGCTCAACACTGCTTAATTGCCATGGCTGCGTTGCTTTGTGTTGCAGCAAAAAAATATACAGCATGTCGCGCTTTTCAGGCGGTGCCGCTTGCCAAACATGATCATTGCAATGAATGGAACCGTGCTAATTGCAAATACATATCCCCATTGGGATTTTAAAAAATGCATTCAGGAGGCAGCACTATTACCTCCTAAATGCTGGGCAACTTTTGCCCCACCGCCCTCTGAAAAGTAGTCCACCGCAGATCGCTCTTTAAAGGGTGGTGGAGACTTCCACCTGTGTGAACTCTGCCATAGTATCACACCTTTTTTTTATAAATTGTGTTTTTATTTAAGAAAGATTTTATCAGAAATAAAACAAACATATAGAGCGAATAACAGTGTCATACGGTAAGGCCCGATTCACACCTGGGAGTTTTGTAGCGCGTTCCTACGCTCTGCAAAACGCTCAAACACCGAAATCCCATTATTTCCTATGGGTATGGTTCACACCTGGGCGTATTACAGGCCGTATGAACGCGCTCCAAAATGCCCTACGCCCAAAGAAGTACAGGAGCTTCTTTGGGGTGTTTTTGTCGCTCGTATCCATTGGGATACAGCCAGGTAGCCCTCGGAAACGCGCGTTTGTCGCACGTTTTTTTACTGACAAACGCGCATATTCGATACGCCTAGGTGTGAACCCAGCCTAAGGAATATCATAGTCATGACATAAAACGTTGTCACAGCACACTTTAACCATATGAATACCCCATACATCACCCTGCCACGCACAAAGAAAGTGAAATCCCGGGGGCTAGACCAGGAACCAATCCCCAAGGTGTGTAAAGTCATGGGGAGTTCTTTATGTTACAATGCAGGCCTACAATGTACAGTGCCCGGTGAACAACTGAGATCCTAACATGACAGGGATGATGTAAGGGGCGTGGAGGCAAGACAACATGAAAGAGGAAGAAGAGGGGAGTAGGGAAGAAAGCAAGAAAGGGAAAAAGGCGGGTGGGAAGGGTGTTTTCTCACTCAGGCCGCAAATCATAACTGCTCATTAAGTGCTGGTATTCTGTAGAGTCGAGGAATTCAGTCCAGTAGAACCATGCGGAGGAGAATCTAGACACTGTTCCCTTTATGGAGCTAGTGAGATCTTCCATATGCTTAATATCATTAACTCGTTGGAGCCACTGTCGTATGGTAGGTGGCAAGGATTGCTTGTCAGTAAATTTCTGCATTATGTCCCTGACCTGGGTCCAAAAGCTTAATAGCAATGGGCAGGATCAAAAAACATGATATATGTCAGCTGGGGAGGAACTGCAGGGCCAGCAATTGTCCGGTACTTCAGGGAAGATCACATGGAGCCTATGGGGGGTTCGGTACCACCTGGTCAATATCTTATATCCAGTTTCCTGGGATCTATTGCAGATAGACGACCCCAGGGAGAGTTGCAGAATCCTAGATCTCTCAGCAGAGGTAAACTGGACCCACAGGTCCCTCGCCAACCCCTCGAGGAAAGGTAGAGGTTGATCAAGGTCCGGGAAGATAAGCAGTTTGTAACAGAGGGATAATGTTTTAAATAGGGGGCCTGCTGTAGTGCACTCCCGTCCAAACGGGGATAGCGGCCTAGAAAATAAAAATTGGATATGGCAGCGAGGATAGGTAGTGTGTCAATTGACGTAGTCTCCAAAATCCCAATGTTGTCAAAGAGGCATCCGAAGTGAGTTCAGGGAAAGTGGGCCACGCAGGTCCGCGGAGAAAGTGGAAGGCTTGGAACTTATCCTGCTTCCCCAAATGGAGGAACACCGCATCCTGTAGGCCAGGAGAGAAGTCCGGTGCCCCGATAAATTACATGCAGGTGTACCTGGAGGTAGCCAACTCCTCCTAATAAGGTGCAGGGACGCACTGGAGGCCAAAAATAGTCAAACTAGAAAAGACGGTACATGCATGAATCTATAACCAGCCTTTATAGCAGGGCGCACATTGGGAAGGCTTACAACAATACAAAACACAAAAATTCCCGTGCATTTTTGGTTGCTGGGCCTCCAGTGCGTCCCTGCACCTAAACTCAGGGCAGGATGGACATAAATGCAAATCTTTTTGGCAGAATAAACAGCTGTCATATATGCATTTCATCAGTGTATCTAGTCCAATTTTTTTGTCTTGAGATCTACTTTTCAAATGACAATCTCAATGAGATCTACCAACCTTTTTTTAAAAAAAACAAGCACATTAAAATGGTTGCTGGAACGTCTGCCTCTCTCGCACGCGCACGTTCTCTCTCTCTCTCTCCCCAGCACATATCGGTTTAGTTTGATTAATAAAGCCTGTTGTGCGCTAGTAGAGTTACTGTCAGTGAAACCACAGGTCAAATGAAATAGACCACTAGGCCCAGGTGCATAAGCAGCTGAAGTCAGATGAATTTTTTGTTTGGGGGACGCGCTGGAGTCCCAGCGTGCATTTTTGGTTGCTGGGCCTCCAGTGCGTCCCTGCACCTTATTAGGAGGAGTTGGCTACCTCCAGGTACACCTGCATGTAATTTATCGACTTTATTAATATGCTCACACTTGGAGACTCGGATACATAGAGTTAGGACCACACTTTGCAGAGGTGCCTTGGCGCGGCAGTGTGGCTTCTACATATTTTTGGCCAAAAGTTTGTGCAACTAAAACCTCTGATTTTCACGCATACTGTTGACAGGACTATTTGTTTGGTTGCAGACTGGCTGGCAGGTTGAGGCTGGGGAATTTTTGTGTTTTGTAAAGAATGGAGGAAAGGACTGTTCCACCGCCACCCAAGCAGTATCACACCTTCAATATTCTCTACAATTTTTACATCCAAATTCTAAACGCCTTCTTCTGTTTAATTAAAGAAATACCACAGATGTATATACTGCTTACATTTTGGGTCCAATACTTGGTCTCAAAACAAGCCTGTGCATTCACTTTATAAAGTATATTCATTGCCACCTAACTACATTGCTATGTAATGCCTATAGCTGGCATAACAAAAACAACCTAAGATTTAAAAAAAAGTAAACGGCGTGAAATAGAAGTTTTACGATTACTCTATAGAAAGTCCAGATACAGGGTAAAGGGTACCATGGAAAGTGTTTTTTAATGGATTAAAAACAAAATGTAAAGCACCTCAATATTCCAAATAGTGTGGAACACCATTGTGCATCAGCTTGGGCTGTCTACCTTTGCTACCTATCAGGGAAACACAAGAGGGAGGTGGAAACACTCTGCGTATATCATTTCTTTGTCACACAAGCTCTGCAGCCAATCAGGCGTTCCATAGTCATATCTTGTTGGCACCCTAGGACTGAAGGTCATTTACTGAAAGAGACACCAGGTAAAAATAGAGGAAAAAGAGAAAGCTAATGCAGCCAACATATCTAAGGACTAGTAAGATGCAATATATTAAATATTTGTTTTTGGGTTTAGATACGGGGGGGAGGGGAGATCAAAACCATGCAACCAATCAGCTTCTCTCTCCAGTTTGTTCAGTTAAGATTTGAAAATGAAGGACAGAAGCAGATTGGTTGCCTTGTACAGCTGCTCCAGATTTTGCCTGATCCAGTTTTGATAAATCCCCCTCTGTATGTTTTACAAAAACGACGCCATCCAAACCTTTTTGAACTGTTGTCTGTATTCCTGTTGGGGAGTTTTCTATCACTTTTTAGTGTTAATCACTGGAACAAGAAATGAGGGCAAATCTTCCCAAAGGGCACCCAGACAACAAATATTCTGTGTTTTGATTACTGGCTATGTCCTTGTGAAAAGCCAATAATAAAGCTGACTCAACTTGACGGAGGACTATTCTAAAAATATAACAAAGTTTGAAGATGGCTACACCACAAATTTGAAGGGGGTAAATGGAAGATCCGCTCAACCTATATAGGAACATGTATTATTTGCATCTGACTTCAGCTGCTTATGCACCTGGGCCTAGTGGTCTATTTCATTTGACCTGTGGTTTCACTGACAGTAACTCTACTAGCGCACAACAGGCTTTATTAATCAAACTAAACCTATATGTGCTGGGGAGAGAGAGAGAGAGAGAGAGAGAAAGTGTGCGCGCGAGAGAGGCAGAAGTTCCAGCAACCATTTTAATGTGCTTGTTTTTTTTAAAAAAAGGTTGGTAGATCTCATTGAGATTGTCATTTGAAAAGTAGATCTCAAGACAAAAAAATTGTGGGTACCCCTGGACTAGATACACTGATGAAATGCATATATGACAGCTGTTTATTCTGCCAAAAAGATTTCCATTTATATCCATCCTGCCCTGAGTTTACACAGCTCTGTCAAACACCACAGTCTTGCCTGGTGTGGGAGTACGCAATCTTTCTCTGCAGCAGTTTTAGTTTTACTTACAGGTCCCCTCCCCACCCTATTACTGGACAGTGAAAGAAGAAGCAGGCCGCTGATGAACCCATCTCTATGTTCTTTCCTCCTGCTCCAGCATGCTCTTTGCACTGAAACACACCTGATTGGCTCCGTGTGCTGCTTTGCCCTCCCCCTCTCTGAGCTCTGCTGTACAAGGACTGCAAACGGCGAAACCAAGTCCCATTTAGGTGCTTACACTGCTTGAATTTATAATAACATACTGTACATTTGAGGATGTATTATTGATTACAGAGCGGCATCGTTTACATCTGCCGGGAGTTCAGCTTTAACCGTTCATTACAACATCCAATGCAATAACATGCCAAGTAATTATAACACTTATTTACAGCAAAGCTATATTAAATAAGAACAGTGTGTATGTACAGCTCATGTGTATGTAATAACATTTGTTACTGGAAACAAACACCATTCATTGTGTGTCGTATAGAAAAAAATGAACTTACTGTGGATCTCCAGCATAACTCAGCTGAGCAGGTCTTATACCAAAATGCACAATAATAGGGAAAGTAATCACTTCTGGGTTAAACTGCTCGCGGTCAAGTTGATCAATTCGAACGGAGCTAGGTTTCTTAAAAGGAAAAAAAAATATAAGTAAAATTGGTACATAATCACAACACAGAGTTTGTATAACACTGCAGAGGACCTTCATCTGTCAGTCTTTGCTTAGCTTAAGAGAGCTCCAGGATGCCATTCTGGGGATTCCACAGCTACTTCTTCAATGTCAGTTACAATACATGAATCATGCAAACACCAAGAATGAAGGTCTTGGGAAGAAGCGGATGATCAAACTGTGGATAAAGTCTTCAAGAATGTTTATTAGTGTATTGGTTTAATGAACTGCTGCTGAAACAGCTGAGAATGCGTAACATCATGAAGCTCTCATAAAGATGTTTTCTGTTTCCCATTATTTAATCATATAACATAGTAAACACTCTTTATTGAAGGGATAAAGCTTTAAAGGGGTCCAATCACTTTCCAGTAAACACAAAGCTTCCAGACAGAAAGGGCAATGTTTGATGCTCTTTTTAACCTTGAGTGATCACTTGAAGGAAACTACAGTTAAGGTGTTTCGAACCTAAACCAACAAACAGAAATGTAATATAAAGCAGCTTACCAGTCCTTAGGTGTGGTGGCTTCAATAGTTTACTTTTAACCTGATGATCCTGCCAGTAATGCACTTTCTGCACTAGGATGACAAGACTCACTCATTATACTGTGTTTGTGGAGGAGCAGCAGTTTTGTCACACCATGACAGGAAGTGTGTTAGACCTGCAGAACACCTTCCTTGTCCTCATCTTCATAAAATAGGGAAAGTGTTCGGTAGTTTACAAAAGCGAATCGGGCAGAGTTGAGAACACTGCTTGAAATAACACTTCAGAGTTTACAGAAACATATGAGCAAACTATATATGTGGCATTTGCACATATGACCAGTTTAAAAAAGAACCCCAGGAATTAATGAAATTAACCCGTGCAGTGGGGCTACCATTGTACTGCAAGGGTTAACTGCTCATTTTGGTCTAGGGGCCAGAGTACAAAAGATACCTGATCCTTGGTCCAGTGCTTGTGGAGTGCTCTGGAAGAATATTGTGAGCAGGTCCAAAACAGTGTCAATATTCTTCCAGAGCACTCCACAAGCACTGTCCCCCATTGTACCCTATTATACTAATACCAAGGTCAACTGGTAAAAAGGGTATGGCCAAGCATGGGCATCCTAGTTGAAGTTAATATTTGTCTAAGAAAGAGTCCGGGGATGTTCACAAGCATGCTGATAGATTCCTAAAACCTATGTGAAGGCAAAATGCAGGTGCCTGCAGTACCTTCAGGTTCATTACGGTCAGTATAGTTACACTTTAGGGTAGTACAAAAAAAAAAGCTCAGTACCTCTCCATGAGAGGTACCTCTCCCCTGTCCCCCCACCCTCCACACTTACCTGTGGTCGCTTGTCACCTCCGCCGGCTTCAGGAAGATTGCAGTGTTCCCTGAACTTCCTTGTTGTTGGGAAGGGTACTAAGGACAGAGGAGCAATAGGCTTCTTCTGCTGTCCGTCAAGCTTTTAGGAAAAGCGCGGTGGAGGGAGCCAGGGTGTGGCTTACTGTGCACAGTGTGTCTATGGACCCACACAGCTAAGCACGGTCTCAGCTGGGAACGTGCACACACGTGTGTCTCCTCAGCAGCTGGCTAGCTGAAGACACGCCCGCAAACAGGCAGGGGGGATCAGTGGTTTGTGGGCTTGCTGCAGAAGGAGGAGAGAGACACATTTTAACAAGAAGGATGTTCAAAAAATGTAAATGTGGATCTCCGCCAAAAAAAAGCAAGGTTTAATATCATACGTTTATATGGTGGCACTGCTATAATGCACTGGTCTTCCTCATACTCTTTTGTCAGTAAACAGGTGATCTGGGATGTGCTTTTTCTTACCCGTTTGTAAATTGAAAGGTGTATTCGCAAACAAGCCACCAATCAACATTTTATTTAAATGGTTATACAGCGAGTGGGAAGGTAGGATTTTAGGAAGCAGACCCACTGACCACATGTATAAAAAGCTTACTCAAATCACTGTGTTCCATTGGACAATCTTACCAAAATTACAGGGTTATTCACAAAAGGGTGAAGAGTTTGGAGAAGCAGGAGAAGTGAACAATCTAGGACAAAATAGCTGATTTGAAAAAATTCTCCAATTCAGCTTACTTTCCCGTTCAGCTATGTTGTCCTAGATTGTTCACTTCTCCTGCCTTCTCCAAACTCTTCACCCCTTTGTGAATAACCCTGTTAGTGTTATGTCACAGTTTTTTTTGTTTTTGTTTTAATTTCACTTTTATGGAATTGCTCTAAAACTGTTGTTTACTTGACGGTAGAGACATAGTAGTCAGTGATTGGAACCAAGGAGTGCAGCAGGGAACCCAGGTAACCAACACACACAGACACCTGACAGAGTTAACAGCAAGATTATCCCAAAGGAGCTTGGACGAGGGACAACAAAGTATTAATGCTTTTCTATATAGGCTGAGCTTGTGTTCAGTTATTATTACATAGCGGCAGAGTCTTTTTAAATATAGGAGATGTTTACAGTTGCTTTGAGAGAAATCACTGTTTATTACGTACAAGTTTGTCTGAGCACAAAAAAGGCAAAAGCCTCAGGAAAACTTACCATTACTGGGTTAGTGACAATCATTCCTTTGCATTCTTCTGCATATTTCTGCCACTCTAGCTCCTCCCACTGGAGCATGTTTGCAATTTCTTCTTCTGGAACCAAAGCTTTGTTGCTTCGAATCAAGTACAACAACACTTGGTGCATAGATAGAACTTCTTTGCCGCCGTCTGCAATGTACAACAGATAACACCTTTTATTTACAGATGATCCAAGGAGAAGTGGGCAGCGGTTTAACTGACACTGAATTATTTTGTGATCGACTAACACCCTGGGTTTGCAGCTCTGATTCATCTGTCCAGGATATACTGAATATATCACAAAACAATGAATATATTTACATAACTTTATGCATGTTCAAGGTTACGGATGACATGTTCTAGAATCTATATTTAACTCGTGCTGACCATTACTTTGTTATTTGGAAATTCTGAAAGTAGTGAAAACCTTTACTGAAAAACTGCATGCTGTGGAACTGCATAGCATGTAAGATTTTCCATGCAATGTGGAAATATTGTTTCTTTATAAATAGTGATGTTTAACATGAATTAACAAAACAGCAAACAAATTTGTTTCTTTTCCTTTTTAAAGGGTGGAAGCCTAGGGTAATGTATCATAAATACCTATTCCATCTAGTTTGAATTATTACAAAAAGGCAAAAACATAGTCTGCTGCAAATGCATTACATATACAGCGAAGACAAAACATAAAACTTGGATTTATTTTTTTTAAATCTGAAAATGCCATTTGAGAGAGTTCTCTTTTGTGCAAGTCTGACATGCTGTTCTTATGACAGGCAACCCAACTTAGCTTTATACACTGCACTAGAACATTTCACAGCAAGGTCTATTCAGCAACCTTTGAAATTTGAACTTGAATGGACAAGTGTTTGTATCTCACAAAAAATGTAATAGCAATGACTCAAATATCAAAAATAAAAGAGAAATTTTGTACTCATTGTAAAATGCTTTTGGAATCCGATGAGGGATGTGGAAAGCCTTAAAGTTTTGGTTATACTTCTGCCTACAGGAGGATTGGACACTGGCAAACAAAAAAAACCTGTAGGCTAGCCCCAAAAAACCTTCCTACTACCAGCAGTTTTGTAGCAAAGTATATCTGGCCATGTTATGGCTTTAACTGACAACTATTTTACAGCGAGTACAAAAATCCTGTTTTGTTTTTTTTTCACCCACCGATGGACACAAGAATCCTTTAATTTTCAGGAGGTCCAAAAGCAGTCCAACTGGGGGTTGGCAACACAGACAACAAACACTAACAGGCCCAAGAAAACAACAACAGGACTGAGGACTGTCTGCAGCTCAAAGAGCGTGTGCATGGAAAACCCAGGGGGCAGCCGTGTAAATCTGTGAAAAAGTAGCCTGATGTTGAAAAGCTTTGACAGGAAAGGATACAACCCGACCCTTGAGACCCTACGCTTAAACAATGGTCTGTCTGAGTCACCTAGAAAAACAAGATAGCAAGAGCACAGGTCTGACCCTTACTGGTGCAGAAAGCCAAATGCTGGTCCAGACCCAGCTGTAGGAAGGAGACGATTCATCTCACATAGAATCTTCTAGGGTTAAAGCTTCGAGACTCACCCCAGGTGAAGTATACCTTCAGTGTGTGAAATGAGCCTTGCGAGAAGACTTCCAAGCTTTTAACATCATGGTAATAAACAATTGAGCTACGCCCTGATCCCTCAGAAACGGTGTTTCAACCTCAATGCCATTAATGCCAGAGACTGTGAAGTATGATAAGTCATTCCTTGAGACAGAAGATCTGGATGATTTGAAAGAGCCCAGAAAGCGTTCATCTGGAGGTTTATCAAGTCAAAGTACCACATCTGCCTGGGCGGATCAAGAGCCCAGGAACGCTCTCCACCTTGATAATGCAAAGCAAATGAAGACTTTTAAGGGAGGAAAGGCTTAGATCAGGTTGTACTGTTCTCACGGAAACACTAAAGTATACACTGTTTCCACTGGAGAATCCTTGTACCTGGAGATAAACCTGTCCAGTTTGTTGTTGAGCCTGGAAGCCAGTAGGGCCACATTCAGCACCCTCCACCCATAATGCAGGCAGGGCCGAGATGGGGGGGTGTCAGAAGTGGCAGCTACCCTGGGTGCAGCCACTTGTAAAACACAGAAGACAGCAGTCTTCCACTGTTCACTTGCTCTGACTCGCTGTGTAATAGATGTGAGCTGTCAGAGCTGTAGTGGAAGCAAGTGGTGGAAGAATGTTGAATTTTGTGTTTAGGCATGGCTTCTGCATTTAGACTGACAGTGGCTGTTCCCAACGCTTTACATAAAACAAAAAAAACCCACACTGCTTGGATACACTGTATATTACATTTATTGTTATCTTTATATCCCGGTCACGCTTTTTACCCATTTAGGTGAATGGCCATCTGAAACTGTTGTTTCACATGTGAGCAAAAACACAAAGTATCCATTAAACAAATACATATACTTTTATTTTAAAATAGTTGCAGTCTTGTCTATTCCTTCTAAGTTCTTATGTTGTAGGCTAATGCCACATGATTTGCATTTGAATGTGCCCTGGACACAACCTAATAGGGTGTAGGGATGGGTGGAACAGTGCCTCTTTAGATGAAAAGCCAGGTCCAACTCTGGGGATGGAGTTGCCACCTTCATGTCAAAGGGGCGGGGGGAGAGAAAGAGGGAGAGCTGGAGAGAGGGAGAGCTGGAGAGAATACTGCTCACCTTACCTCCTCAGAGCCCTTCAGCTCCCCTTCCTCCCCTAGAGCCACCCTTAGTTAAAGCACCACAGAGAGCTCCCCTCTACCCATTCATCCCACTGACACAAATGCCAAAGCAGCATTTTTCCTCCCACTGATGCAAACACAGCAACATTTGTTTCCATCCCTTCAAACTGATGTCTAGTCCCTTTGCACAGACAAGTGCCCAAAACTCCCTGTAGCCCAACAGGTCAGGGAATCTTTCAAAAGTGGCCAGGAAAAGCTTCCCCGACTCCAGAGACGGATTCCTGAGCCACAAAGCCAGGGACAGCCTGGTCCCTGTAGTAAAACCCCTGAAACCATTCTGCCACAAGAACTGGAGCACTGACACCTTGATTCAGAAGACCCGGAAGAGCTACCTGAAGATTTGCTACTCTGTGTGATGACACAAGAAGTTGGAAGTGATGAATTGAAAAGGGGGCTGAGAGCAAAACTCTCAACCAAGAATCTGAGATGCAAGCTGTCCAAGCATCCGCAAAGGCTAACAGATGTCCTTCCACTTTAAAAGGTAGGGGCCGACCTTAATGCCTGAGGGTTTGGTGGACCTGGAACGCCAGGCCTTATAGGTAAACTTTGAGCCAAACAAATAAGCAGTTGTTTGAAATCTACGTCATTGGTAGATTAATTTCCTTACAGTAGAATCATTTATTTAATTGGTGATTTTTTATTCAAATTCCTTGCCAGACTTATAGGCATCCACAACTTTCTTTTGACGGCCTTGGAGAGCTCTATTGATGTTGGCATGATAACACCACACATGTCAACACATAGCAAAGACAAAAGAAAAAACACTAGACTCTAGATGTCTGAGATTGATATAAGATAAGAAAGTGTCAGTACTGTCAAAATTCTAGCTGCAAAGCTGGGTAAACAGCGAATCAAGCTGTGTTTGACTGGCTGGGGCAGAAAAGATATTAGGGGCTTTTCAGACCATTTGATATCATAGAAAGAGTACTTGTCACCTGCTCAACACTCTTACATGGGGGGGGGGGGCTTCTTAGCCCCCTTGTGATAGCAATAAAGTTAATTGGAAAAAAAGTGTTGAAATAAGAAAAAAACATCTATGTTGGTTCCACTCCCCACTCGCAAACATACAAATGAATGCGTTGAGCACCAACATATTGTATATGCCCAAGTTCCTGTCATACACATTTCAAGACCGTCTGATCCAACCCAGGTCTGCATCTCTCCCTGACAGGAAATATTACAGCAGGTAAGATACATATACATTGCTCTGCAGCCTGGATAACAGACAGGTGGAGTCTGTCAGAGCAGCACAGTTGTTGAAACGTAAACTATGTATTTTGTGGCTGATGAGCGTCGGGTTTGCTCAGTTTGGTAGACAGGACTGTATTAATATGTAGTTAGCACCAGGAGATGGCTAGGTTTTGTATTTGGTGTTTTGTTTTAGGAGCACTGTACAGCACACACTGTACAGTGTAATTACCTGTAAATAGCACAAATAAACCCACCTGTTTGAAAGAAGTCACTGGACAAGTATCTGTGCCTGAAAGGCTGCTTACAGCAGGAAGCATTACAGTCGCTACCAGCCCCCAGTTCACATATGGTAGATGACTTTTGGCAGTTTTCTTTACATGTTATGTCATTTTTCCATTACTGAATTAAATACAATTACTTGTATACTCTCTTTCTAGTGACTGCTTCTATGTCATGTCAGGAGAGTGCACCGACTGCATGAATTTAACAGTGATAGCCTGGTGAACGTCAAAAGGTACGACCAGCTTTTCCAATTCTTGAAAAATGAGGCTGACTTCATCAATACTATTTATCACTATTCATCAACTGTAGTGGATCTCACACAAAAATGACATAAGAGCCACATTGTGCAGAAAAGAAGATGAGAGATCTGTTGAAGCAAGGACTAGGCATTTTAAACTAATAGAACATTTTCTCCTGACTTGTGTGACTAATTTTTTTTCTTCTACTTTTAATATTTGAGGGGTGAATGTTTTTATGCCAGAAGACCAATTTGACCACTGTAAGGGTCTTTTGGTGCACCAAAGCAATCGCAATGAGTTGTTTCTTAAGCCCTACACTCTACCCATCTGTCTACCTATATCTATTTGTCTGTTTGTCATATATAAATAAATTGTTTGCTGTCAGAGGGGACTAAGACATTACCTATTTTCCCATAAGTAAATGTCTGACTACATAGAGGTTCATTTATTTTTTAGCCGGGGAGTAATTGATACATATTGCAAATGAATACCCAATAAGTTCCTTGTCTGGTGTAAGCACAGCCTTGGCGTGCTTCTGCTATTGATTTTATGTGTTGCATTAAAAGCCTTTGGACATTATGAGGCCTTCTGGAAAAACATTTAGGGCTTTTATGGGACAGTTATGGATGTATCCAACTAGCTATTGAGGAAATGGGATAAAGCTATTGAACAAACA